TGCTAAATACATTGGAAACATTGGAAAAAAGATATTACAAGTTGAAAGTCAATGACTTATGAGAACAATACAGACTATAAAGAGAAAGCATGATGACATATTGAATCCTTATTTACATAGGAATAACCTTAGAGCTCAGGTGTTAGTACTCAGATCAAAAGCTGTCATGTATTTATAAATGAAAACTGCTTCCTTATAAGAAGCTGAGCTGGAACCAATTTCCTCTTTGCTTTTAACAACTATTGAAGTCACATTACCTTCTCTTATTTTTTTCCTGATTTGTTCTCCAAAAAATTGTTGTGAATATCTTAAGTGGAATGTTATTTGACATTTATTTACTTCATTTACCATAGATATTCACCATTTATCTATTTACCTCAAATTTGAGCCAGGTTGTAGTAACCATAAATGCCTAAGAAACATTTTGTTTTCATTTAGCTTTTACAGATCAGCCAAAAGAGGTATGGAAACCTAAGGTCATCCATCTTGAGTTATGGAAGGTTATAATAATATTAACTTCTTACTCTCTCTAGCATAGCAAAACCTGACGCCCTAGGAAACCATAATTTTTTCCAAGAAAATAACAAACCAGCATGCGAAAGAATGACTTAAAAGGAGGTAAAAAACGACCAGTTGCTGTTTCCTCAAAGCTTTCTCATTTCTCCACAGCATGTAGCGCCCAACACCATTTATCATCTCTGTCAACCTAAGCTTGTTGTATTAGTTTATGTTTGTTTAAAGATAAGTGTATTTTTCTCACTTTCGACATTTACCCACCTACTGGATTTAAAAAAATGTTTTTAGCTCTTACCTCTCCTGAGCTCTAGGCCAAGGTTCCATATTGCACTAGGCATCTTAGACTATCCAGATGTTTCTGAACTAAATCCACACTGACTCCCTCAACATGACTTCTTTCATACTTCTTTGTTTCTGATCCTGGCATTAGTGATCTAAATCATTGATTCTATAATATCTTTTTCTATCATTTGCCACATCTAAACAGTAGCCATGCCATAATCATTCTAACTGTATTTTTTTTTGTCCTTTCATTCTGCCTTGAACTTAACATATTATATGGTGCTCTGAGGTTTTCTTTATTCCTGCTTTGCCTATTAAAATAAGACATTGCTTTCATCTTGACAATCTAGTTCTTACCCGTTCCACAGAATAATGTTAGTTTACACAGAGCACAGTTCTTACTATAAATCATCCCAGCTACAGAATCCACAATGATTCCTACTGCTGGTTGTATTAAGTATAATTTTTTAAAAATCCATGTCTTAAGCTCATCTTGCTGATAAAGAGCACAAACACATGTTTTCCAAGATCAGCCCTCAGTTTTCTTAGTCTTATTTCTGTGCTCAAATTGAAAAGGCAATTTATTTTTCCTCATATTGCCCTTACAACTTAAAGCATGTACAAGAATGGCCGGATCCAATAAAACAGATAGTGGGGAAGGGTCAGGGTGCGGGCAGTAGCTGGTGTTCTGGCATAGTGGGTAGCATTCCATATAGGTGCCAGTTGCTCTGCCCCCAATCCAGCTCTCTGCTAAGGGTCTGGGAAGATGACTGAAATGCTTGGGCTTCTGCTACCAAATGCCAATCGAGCTGAAAACTCTGGGCTCATGACTTTGGTCTGGCCTAGCTCTGGCATTGCAGTCACCTGGGGGAAAGAATTAGTGAGTGGAAGAGTTCTGAATTTCCCTCTGTAACTTAGACTTTCAAATAAATAAACATGATTTAAAAAAAGACATTTGTTTTTGGAAAAAGATCTTTCATTTCCTTCCCTATTTCTTCAAAGGTGTGTGTGTGTGTGTGTGTGTATATATATATATATATATATTTTTTTTTTTTTTAACTGTCCCTGGATTTCAGAAGCTCTTTGTAAATCCTGGATGTTAGTCCCCTGTCAGTTGTGTAGAATGCAAAGATTTTCTCCCATTCAGTTAGTTACTTCTTCACTCTGTTAATTGTTAATTCTGTCCTTCGCCATACAGAAGCTTTTTAGTTTGATATAGTCCCATTTGTTTATCTTGGCTTTGACTGCCTGTGCTTTTGGTGTCTTTTCCAGGAAGTCTTTATCCACTCTCTTATCTTGGAGAGTGCTTCATATGTTTTCCTTTCATAGTTTGATCGCTTCTGGGTGTAGTAGATTTAGGTCACTGATCCATTTAGATCTAAGTTTTGTATAATGTGACAGGCAGGGGTCATGCTTCTCACCTGTGCAGGCTGCTATCCAATTGTCCCAAGAGCATTTGTTGAAGAGACCACGCTTTTTCAAACCTGGATTGTTTTCAGTTTTGTTAAAGATTAGTTGGCTATACATGTGTGGGCTCCCTTCTGGGGTTCTATTCTGTTCCACTGATCTTCTTCTCTGTTTTTATGCCACTATCAGACTGTTTTGAGGACCACTGCTCTGTAGTATATCTTGAGGTCTGGAATTGTGATTCCTCCAGTTTGATTTTTATTTTTCAGGTTAGCTTTGGCGTTTTGTGGTCTCTTGTGTTTCCAGATAAACTTCTGTATCTGCTTTTCTATATCTGAGAAGAATGCTGTTGGGCTCACATTGAATCTGTATATGTTTTGATAAAATAAACATTTTGATGATGTTGATCCTGCCAACCCTAGCCATGAGGCAGATACAAATGAAAACCCCCGTGAGGTTCCACCTAGCTCTAGTGAGGTTGGCCTACATTCAGAACTCTACTAACAACACCTGCTGGTGTGGATGTGGGGAGAAAGATTCTCTCCTTCACTGCTGGTGGGAGTGCAGGCTAGCACAATGACTATGGAAATCAGTATGGAGAGTGCTTAGAGAACTGCAGATTAACCTGCCATATGACTCAGCTATCCCACTTCTAGGAATATATTCAAAGGAAATGAAAACTGCATAGGAGAAGGGGATCTGTAATCCTACACTTACAGCAGCACAATCTACAATAGCAAAGATATGGAAACAACACAGATGCCTGTCCAAAGAGGAGTGGTCAAAGAAATTATGGTACATTTACTCTGTGGATTATTACTCAGCCATTAAAAAGAATGAAACTATACTATTTATAACTAGATGGTCCCAACTGGAGACCATTAAGCTCAGTGAAACAAGTCAATCCCAAAAGGACAAATACCATATGTTTTCTCTGATATAAGGCAGCCTTCATGCAAATTGTAAGATCAATAACCCTTTCTATACTGATTTTGCTGCAACCCATGGGTTTTGATACTTTTGTTTTTATTTTTGTTTCTCTCAAATAGTTTTTCTCTTACCAAATATTTTACTAGCTCATAGATGACACAACAGTATCATTTCACCCAAGAACCTTTTGTATTTTCTTTTTCATCTCTTAATCAATTCAGTGGCACGTTGTTTAACTCCATGTTGTTGCAAATTTTTTGTTTTTTTTAAATTTTTTTTTAAAGATTTATGTTTATTATTTTTTATTGGAAAGGCGGATATACAGAGAGGAGAGACAGAGAGGAAGATCCTCCATCCGATGATTCACTCCCCAAGTGAGCGCAATGGCCGATACTATGCCGATCCGAAGCCAGGAGCCTCCTCCAGGTCTCCCACGCGGGTTTTAACTCCATTTCTGTTATTGACTGTTTTCGTGGTTTCTCATTTAAGGGAATGTACACAGTGAGTATCATATGCAGATATGAAGATTCTATGCAGTGTGCATCTCTACTTCCAAATAACAATGGGCTCCCAATGAAATGGAATATATCTTGATAAATAGGGTGTAGGACTGTCCAGCACTGTATGTACCAGCAATGTCAGGGTACACTTAAATAACAGACTGATGGACTTATGACTACTTATGAAGGGTTATATTATTGTAATAGGGAAAATCAGTTGGGGGTGGTAATTTAGGGAGGGGGTAGGAAAATCCCAGACTCTATGGAATTGTGACATAAAATAAAAAAAAAAAAAAAGGAAAAAAAAAGACATTGAATGGACTATCAAAGGCTTTTAATGTTCTGCTGAAAAAGTTAACATTATCTTCAGGGCACATATGTGCTAACTCTTTTTGTTTTTGAAAGACTGATTTTAAAAGGCAGAGATTCGGGCCCGGCGGCGTGGCCTAGTGGCTAAAGTCCTCGCTTTGAATGTGCCAGGATCCCATATGGGCACCAGTTCTAATCCCGGCAGCTCCACTTCCTGTCCAGCTCCCTGTTTGTGGTCTGGGAAAGCAGTCAAGGACAGCCCAATGCTTTGGGATCCTGCACCTGTGTGGGAGACCTGGAGGAAGTTCCTGGCTCCTGGCTTCAGATCAGCACAGCACTGGCCATTGTGCTCACTTGGAGAGTGAATCATCGGACAGAAGATCTTCCTCTCTGTTTCTCCTCCTTTCTGTATACCTGACTTCCTAACAAAAATAAATAAATCTTTAAAAAACAATAAAAAAAAACAAAAGGCAGAGATTCAATGAGATCTTCCAATCACTGGTTTACTGCCAAAATTGCTAAAACAGCCAGGCTGAGCCAGGCTAAAGCCAGGAGCTTGGAACTTCAACAGGATCTTGCACATGGATGCTGCAGCTCAAGTACGCAGGCCGTTGTCTTCTACAACATCTTGTAGCTCATGCTCCATGGAACTATTCCTACTGACAAAAAGTTCCCACAAATTTATGTACTTGTAAGCAGTACTTTAAAAGTACAGTGGAATATAAGAATTAAAAGACATTGATTTGGAAAAGGAAATACTGGCAGAAATGTGCATTTTCGTTCTTGCTTCTCTGATAGTACTTACATACTTTAATTTTGGTTCAATATGTATAAATAAAGTTAAAGGTTAAAAGTTCCAGTTCCATTTTATTTCACTAAATACCATAAAAGTCCTGATAGATCATTTTTCTTTTATTCTGTTTATTTTTACTATCCAGTTCCCCAAAGAACATATATGAAATATTTTATATTCAACAAGCTTTTCAACACAAAGCTCAATTTTCCAGTGACGCTGGAGATTTCAAGCTATGCTGCTGTAAGTTCTAAAACACATACCTAAGAGTGCAGTGAGCTTGGGAAGCAGTCCAACTTGTACCATCTTATTTCTCAATCCTGTGTCAAAGGACAGGTTTAGCAAAAGCCGCAGAGTGATATTCAGCAGATCTTCATGTTCACAAGGTATCATTTTTACTAGCTTTTCAACGATATCCATTTCCACCTAGGTTCAATAACACAAATATAGATGCCATGAGGTATTGTTGTAAAATAAGGCAAAAGATCAAACATATTTGGTTTTGTTTTTAATATGTATTGATGTTTATAATTATATTAATCTTATACTACCCCCAGTCTGTAACTTTCCTTGCTTCCAACATCTGGTGAGAAAATATGTAACTTCACATCACCTGCTCCTTTCCTCATTTTTAGTGACATCAACAGTAAGAGCAATTACTTCAGTCCTTGAAAACACTATATTATTGAATAATATCTTTTAAGTGCTGGGCTTTGTGCTACATCAGTTAAGATCTCAGTATGACCTTCAATGATTTCACATTTTGTAAACTGGGTGGGCAAAGAATAAATAATAAAAATACAATGTGATGTAAACTGAATATACAAAGTGCTCTGGAATCAACATGGAGTTGCTCTAGAAGCATTTATCCTATATATAAAAAAGATGTCAAATTAGGAACAAAGTGTTTAAAAGTGAGTTAAGAACTTGTTTTTTAGGTAAGAAAGAGCAGTGCCAACCCAAACTTATGAAGAAAACATTGGATGTATATTTAATAACAAAAGGTAGGTTGGGCAATTCTATTATTTGGTATGACTCACAGTATCAAATATGTGTTGTGGATGTTGGCAGAATACCCTAAAAGCTTTTATTACTTTCTAAAAAAATCCAACATTATTCTGTAGGTAGTAGAATGTCCTTAATGACCTGAAGTCTACTGGATGAAATGGTCAGACTAGTTCCCACACAAGGAATACTCTTGAAATTCATGTTCCCAGAGAACAGATGATGGTCAACCTTGCAAGGAGGCTTCTTAACAAGAGCAGTGAGGTCCCTTTTCTACAGTCAATAGGGTGAACATAGGTATCATTACCTAAGGTCAAGGAATGGAAAACAGGTCCAAGACAATGATGACTTAGTGTGATCATGTTTGATTTCAGGTGATATTCAGTGGATATGTGGGCATTTTATAAAACTGAAGAGAAGCTGAGCTAAATGAAGTAGCTGAAACTTTGCGACACAAACTGGCAAACCAAGACTAGCGAGCCTAATCTGGCCCATCATTTGTTTCCACAATAAATCACAAGTTGAGGATGGTTTCTGGCTTTTATATTTTTAAATGGCTGAAAAACAATCAAGTGAAAACTAATAATTCATGATACATAAAAATTATATGAAATTCAACCTTCAGTTTCCATGAAGAGTAATGCCTAATATATTGACTACTGAGCACTTTAGAGGAAATATTTCTGACTCCATGATTACAAAGATTATAAAAAACAGCACCAAGAGAACTTGTTTTAGAATGAAAAGTCTCAGAAAACAAAACTTACTTAGTAACAAAAGCCCTCCACATGCAGAGACGTTCAGGTAGTAATCAGAAAAATTTGGTTATAAAAGCATCTATTCTCTTTTAGCCTTGTGACTCATCTCTACACTATAGAAACACACTGTAGCGACATTCTAGAGCTCTTCCTTTGCGTATACTCAATCTCCAAAAAGTTCCATAAATCAAACATGGTGCTATTAACCAGTTATTTGACATTATCAACACAAGCAATAAACCATTATCTTAGGAATAACAAAGAAAAAAGTGACTAACACCAGACTGAAACACATCAAGATAATCACATCAAGCCTTTAGACAACTGAAATAAGCAGCAAAACTTTTAGGCCCACACATTCAACAAAATAAAGAGGAACAACTCCCTTAGGGAATCAAACTACAGAGTAAACAAACAAACCATCAAACAAACAAATAAACAAAAACACCCTGAATGGTTCTTTTCTATCTATTAAGGCAATTCACAGAAAGGATAGTTCAGGTCCAAACTGCCTTTTCACTGGTGCATTCTGTTTATGGATTTAACTACAAGTAAGAAGCAATTCTATACAGACTCTTAAAAAAGATACTGCAATAATAAAAACAAAGCAAGACAACAGAAGAAAAGAAAGATTGGTTTATAATGGAGCAATAATGCCTCATATACAGACATAAAAGTCCCCAACAATGATAAGTTAGTCAAATCTAAATACAAAGTGCAAAGCAAGACCAATTCAACAAACAGTCAAAAGTCAATCAATAGGGAGTGTGGTAATGTGGCTCAGTGGGTTAAGCTGCTCTCTGTGACAAAGGAATACCATATGGGAGCCCCAGTATGAGTACAAGCTACTCCATTTCTGACCTCGCTTCTTTCCTGCTGATATACCTGGGAAGGCAGCTGAAGATAGCTGCTACCCTTGTGAGAGACTCAAATGTGGTTTCAGGCTCCTGGCTTTGGCCTGGCCCAGCTACTGTGGCCACCTGGGAAGTGAACCACCAGAGGATGGAAGCTAGAGCTCTCTGTCTCTACCTGGGGGGTGAACCACCAATGGATGGCAAATAGGCCGCCTCTCTCTCTCTCTCCCTCCCCATTCCCTTTCTCCCCTCTACCTTTCAGCCTTTCAATAATTAAATAAATCTGAAAAAAAAAATAGACCAATTGCTGGCAAAAGGCATAAGGAAAGTTGAGGAATACAGAAAACTCAGAATAATTTTGAATAATAGTTACTGGAGGTTCCACATGCTTGATTAGTACAGAACTCCAATAATCTAGAGAAGGACACAGTAGTGAAAAAGCATAGACACACAGATGAATGGAATAGAAAACAGAACATAGAATCATACTGCAAATCTTCAACAAGGGTACAAAATCAACTTCAATAACTACAAAGGAAATTTAACTGAGAGAGTCCTCAACAAATGGTGCCAGAACAACTCAACATCCATACTGAAAAATAACCATTATTGATGCACAACTTATGTTGCATACAAAAGTATCTCAAACTGAATGAATCATAGGTTAAAATCACCATCACATACATAGCTATAGATATTTCTTAAACAAAATTCTTTGCTTCCTTGAGTTCACAAAACCTAACCCAGATATCATTAAAGTCAAAACATTCCTTTCTTCATGACAGAATGAAAAGGCCACAGAAAGTGGGGAAAAGTACCTGTAAATTATGTAACTGATAAAACACTTGTATCCAAAACACAAAAGAACTCTAAATATAAGTACTAACAATATAAGCAACCTAAGCAATATATATGTTCTCTGCTGCTCCTCTTAAAACTAGATTCTAATAGGATTTGCTTCCTTTCTATTATAGAATGTCATATTAACATAATTATGCTAATATTAATAGTTATGATTCAATTGAACAAAATAACAGAAAATTTAATTTTAAAGATATGTTTAAAAAAACAGGTCAGTATTTGTTCACATTTATAGTAAAAAGAATATGCTATCTAAATAAATTCGCAATAGATTAGGCATTTTCTTCACCCTTTTTTTTTAAAACAAAATTTTCACAGGCCTTAGCTGTTATTAATTACATTAAGTAATATTTTTCTTCTGAAAAAAAAAACTAACAGAATATGTATATATTAGTTGTTACAAAAAACTTACTAATAAAATAACCTGGAGAGTTTGTTATTAATTGTATTTCATGGCATAGAATGGAATGTGAAATATGTGCCATTAGTCAATCAGATGTTAAACGCTAGACTTGTATTTATTTAACCCAGTCATCCAGTCGTGTCTCGTTGATAAAAGCTCAATTCCAGGAGCTAAATTTAGTTACTGTCTCAACATGCAGTAAATTACCAATTGATTTCTTCAATGTGGAATTACAATTAGTATTTTTATTAAACAATTCAGAGTGACTATTTGCAAATTAATTTCAGTCTTTAAAGATAGCTTTTTCAGTGTTTCTTAGAGTCAACATTTAAAAATCGCTTATGGGTATCCTTGCTAAATACATCTGAAAAAAAAAGTTATAATTTTGCTCTAGCAGAAAAACTATTTGCAGCTAACAGTTTAGAGATCTGTTTCCTTAAGAAAACTGTTCATGTATCTGATCATCTGTTAAGTTATCTGAAAAACTGGGAAGCTAAATTTTTAATAACTCAAAAATGAAATGTATGACACCTATAGTAAAAGTAGGGCTAATCAAAGGTTCTTATGACTTTAGATGAATAACTTTTCTCACCTTCGTATTATGAGGAGTTAAATTTGAGGTTTGAAAAATTGTACCTTCTAGCTCCATGAACTTACTGGAATATAATTTTCAATAACTGTTGATATCTTTTTTTTTCATAGCATTAGCACTTAAGCAGTACATGATATAAATGCAAATCTAACACACACACAGTAGATACATGCTGATGGCAAATAATTTTGAGAACAGGCGAAAGATAAAATTAATGTAAACACATAAATGGTAAACCTCGTTAGCACGCTAAGCACTCAGCAGCATACAGATCAGCATGTCACCTATTTTTAGTTACAAAGTGAAAACAAAACGGCATGTTTTAGTCCAAAGGATATAATAAAAATTATATGCTAACTAATAATAATTGAATGCTAATGGTGAAAATAACATTAAATAGGGGTAAAAATAAATCTGAATTTATTAAAAAGTAAGAATTCAAGGCACTTATTAAATCTGATAAGTCATTCTCAAGTTTTTAAGAAGCATCTAGAATGTCATTCAATTTAGCTTAAGCTGCTTCATAGTTCATTTGATTTCAAAAGCAGAAAAAGAAGAGACAGAATTATATGCATTTAAATTATCTAACAAATTCACTTATATTCATAATTTTCAGTAAAGCCAGATATGTTTTTTTAAAAATAGTATTTAGTGGAGTAAAGGTTAATGACCAGGAATTGACTCCAAGAAAATAACAAGAAATAAAAGCAGCAATATATGTATACATATATACACTGAAATGTTATTTCTAACAGCTGAAGTTAAATACCTGAAAATAAGGCATGTTTAATCTATGAGATATTCAAGATAATATTATAATCAACAAGAGATTTTTATGACATGAGAAAAAACAGATAAAAATTTTATTTTGTGTATATATATATATATCCAGTGTATTCTATCTAACGAGAGGGAAATAATGTAAGTTTTACTTCTCAGACCATTAAATCAATACAACAAGAGATGCAGACAACTAGGAGCTTAACAGAAAGATTCAAGTAAGAAATGAGCAATGATTATATGAACTAATTCAATGCTCAGTTAGTACAAAGAGGGACAACTGCAAGAGCTATTCATGAAGCAGAATGAACAAGTTATGGTCACCAACTTGAATAACAGGTGACAAAGAACAAACTGGAATAAACTGCACCCCAAAGACTAATGTCAGAAATGCAGACAATGAAATAGTTCAGGAAAATATGAAAAGGTTAGATGACCCGATGGACATTTTTAAGTTTAAGCTACTTTTGATACATTAAACAAAATGTGGTGAGATGTATTATATACAACATATTAGAAAATATTTTAATCCAAGAAAGCTTCAATATTCTGGAATGCTAACATGGAATATATTTTGTAATAAAAATACTGCAGTGAGTCACTACTTTGTAAAATATTCAGAGTGATCTCAGTAGGAAGATAAAATGTTTAGTTTTTATCAAAAATACTCTAACTTAAAACAAAGGCTAATACAGACTATTTCAAGAGGGAGCTTTGCAAGTTACCATATCATTTTTATTCTCCATAAAAATGCTGAGCTTCTTCAAGAATGATACGACTAGAATAAGCAGCTCAAAATTGTCCCGATCAAGAGCCTTCACCAACATGTGGACGATATTCTTGTTCCTCATCTTCAGTTCTGTACGAGTGTCCTCAGCAAGGTTGAGAAGCAAGTAAAGTGCCACTGGAAAACAGACAAAAAGTTAAATTACTGGAATATGAATCAACAACTTAAAAAAATCTCTTCAGCTCACAAGAGTGACAGAATTTTACAAGTGTAACCAGCTAGTAATTAAGCCATAAGAAAATAAGTGCACAACTGAATAAGGTATATATACATATTTAAAACAAAATGCATTACATTTAAATATATAAAATAGAATATATACACTTTTAAAAACAAAATACACATTTTATGTATCATATATAGTATACATAATTTATATGTTACAAATATAAATTTACTATATTATTTATAATTTATTTTATATCATTTACATATTTTATAATACATTTACACTATATAATTATAGTATACCATATATATGATATAATAAGCAAAATGTAATACATATTATATATAACTTACATATAATTCATAATACATATTTTATATATTCTAAATATATAGCATGCAAATATATAAATATATGATATATAATGAATATATTATTATATAATTATTCATATACTTATATATTTATAAATATAAATACACATTTATAGAAATATATAAATATTATTTTGTATTATACAAATATATTCATATATAAAGACATATATAAGTATTTATATATTATTTATATAAATATATAAAATTATACATAAAATTACAATATGATGCTTAGGATGCCGTAATAAAAATATGACAATGAATTTTATCTTTTTGGAATTTAGAAAATAATAGTAATCAAATGACAATTAAATGTAGAGAAGTCAAAGAATAATAAAATAGGGAAGTAACTTTTATACATATGGAAAACTAGAAATATTTTATGAAATTTCAACAAATAAGAGCTGTTATGTTGAAGAGCTACATCGCAAAATATGTGGCATACCTAAACTAAATTGCAGGACACTAATTTTTACATTTGAATTTTACATTCAAATGAAGTTTGAATTTCACATTCAAATGGATTTTCTGCTAGACTCTATAAGAAAAGGCCATATGAAATTCACTAATAATACTATCACACCAGAGTAAAGGTTGCGCACTGCTACTTCCAAGTAAAATTTGTTTGCGATCTCTGTAATGAAAAATCTTAGGTCCTCAAGGGACATTCAAATAATTGTCCTCTTTTGACAGCAACCAAAGATAATGTTTTCTATCTTGTCTCTATTGACAAAAAGAGAACTAAGTGGATTGACCTAGTAGGATAACATTTGAAGCGTCAAAGCAGAAGAATCTGTAGCTTATTAAGGTTTACAGAACTTTCAGCTATTTGATTATTAATTTCAATGGTATGACAAAAAACAGACTAAAATAAATGCATTGAGAGTAAGTACTCTTGCTTTTCTCACTAGCCAGAAATTCATACCTCGTAATAGCTGCTCTTGTTTTATCACAAGCCCCTGGTACTTTTTAAATGTTTTTTCGTACTCCTTTCTCAAGGTTTGGTTTTCAGGGTCTTCATCAAGTGAACAGCTTAAAGTTAAGGATCACACATACTAAGCAAACCAAAAACAAACACATAAAAAATACTTCATGCAGAGAATAGTGTAGCACATTTTACATGCAACTGCACATCATCACATCTCTACCTCTCTATTGTGGTTATAATAGGATTTCTTAGAAATCTTAGGATTTCCTTTGAATCTTTGCATGAGCAAATGTTTTAACATCACCAAATACTTGTATTTCTAGAAATTGTTTACAAATATTTCATGCAGGTTTCCAAGTATTTAAATTTCAATAGACTGACAAGTACCATGAGCCAAAATGATTATGGCCTCAGAGACCGATTTAGTTATTAAGAATAACTGAGTCTACTTCGGATAGATGCCCAGAGTATTTAAAGAATAAAAATGAAATCTAAAGCTTTTTTAGTACTCTCCCTCTAAGAGATGTTAAAGAGAAAAAAACAACAACAAAAACAACAAAGGATAAATTCCACTTAACACAGTTCATTCCTGAGAATATTTGTTTATACTTATCTATATGTCTACTTATTTTGCATTTTGCATGATGGTTTTCTTATATCAGACAGAACATATGCTATCTGTCCTTTTGGGATCGGCTTATTTCACTGAGATAATGGTCCATACAGAGCCATGATACACTTAAATAGCAGAACATTAAACCGGCAATTGTTACTGAAAGATTATACTATCATGATAGTACGGGGAAAATGTTGGGAGGGAAGTAGGAGATGGGGAGGGAGGAATCTATGCTTACAAAACAGAATCACAGAAAATAGTAGTAGCAATAAAAAATGTACACTTTTTCTACAGACTGGAGTTAAGAAGTTTATGAAACTGCACTACAGGAATAATATTTTCAGATTTTAAAAGACCTCAATAAAACTTGGGTTCAAAGCAAAACTAATAGTATAGCATGCTGATTTGCATAACTTAGACCAGATATGAATAAGTCAGGAACCTTTGATCTAGAAGAACTACATTATAGAAGTAATATGATTAATATCTTCATGCTGAGAGGAATCATGATGTTGAAGAAATATCCTTACTTGATATTGCTTCACTGTGAAAGAGTAGAATCAGGGGACAGAAGTTGTTGGAAAATGAGTGAAATAACAATTTTAACAGAATGCCAACAGACATAATACCAATCAGTATATAAACACTCTTCAGGGAAGCTGCAGAAAAGATTTCTATATTGTAAGACAGGTGAAAAGTCAGAAAATTCCTTTTATGGGTTCTATAATTCTATAGGCCTCTCAAATATGAACTTGTTGAGAAAGATGTTTTTAGACTTTCATAAGTAAACAGAACTTTAAGGTAAGTCCTTCACTAAATTCGTATCTATTCTAACCAAACTCACTTTAGAAGCAAGCACCTAAGGAACAATGGTGAGTCAGGATTGAGTTAGCCAAAAGACCTTCAGCACATTAGGGTGTGGTCACCGAGGGATTCACCTGTGCAGTTATCCGGGGACACTGTGACCTTTTCTAGATCATTAATCACTACAGGAAAGAGATAGCAGATATAAGTACAATGTCAGACTAGGTTTTCTCAAGTGATTTCAGTATTTATTCTCAACTGTCAACACATTCTTGCATTATTTCCAAGCAACGTAATTAGCAAATAAAGAAAAAAAACCACAAAATACCACTTTAAAAGGATATCAGCTTTCTTCTTCTTAGAAAGTTCTTCTTGCCAAAGCTCATGTCTTTTTAACTCATGATCAATAATATTCATACATAGAGCTCCAATTTTATAGTGAGTGATAAGTCCATGAAACTGAGAAAAACTTTAAAGAAGAGATTTTAAAAGAATACATCTTATGGGAAATTTATTTTCAATACACATTGGGACAAACCATGTATAGAACAAAATTGGTATACATATTTCCACAAACAAATATATTCATAGCACACAAAGAACATTTGAAATTTAAGACTATCACTGCTGATTTATTTTTAAGGAGTTAAAAATTAAATACCTTCTGTGATTAATCACCCATATTAGTGAGTCAGGTATTCTCAAATGAAATTTTCTGTAAATTGGCCAGAAACTTTTCACAATGTTTCAAACAACTTCTCAATCATTTTTTGTATAAAGAATAAATACAACTTATATGAATATGTGAAAACAATGACATTTACTGAATGCTTCACTCTGAGTCAGGCCTTAATCTACATATTTTATTTTGAGTTTATTTTGAATTTTTTGAAAAGTGGAGACATAGCAAAAGCCAGAGACTTTTCATCTCCGATTCGCCTCCCAAAATAAAAAAGACAGGACTAAACAAGGAAGGAGCCAAGAGCCATGCAGTCAAACTCCATCTTTCATGTGGACTGTATGGACTCCAGTACTCCCATCACCAGTTCCCTCCTTGGGTGGAAATGAGCAGGAAGCTGTATGGGGAAGTGGAGCCAAGACTCAAAACCAACGAGATGGGATATAGGTTTCCTTAGCAATATCTTGATTACTGTGTGAAACACCTGACCATAATCAAATTACATTAATTCTTACTTTATTCAATTTTAAAACTATCCAGTATGGTTACCACCATAAAATCTGAGGATTTGATGCCCAGAGAAGTAACTAAGATCATACTGCAGAACTTAAACCCAAATCTAGATGTTCTGCTTCAAGAGCTCATCGTCCACAATTGTAAACTATTAAAAGCATTCCAGTGTGTGTGTGTGTGTGCATGGGTGAGGGTGGAACAGAATGAATGAAAGAGCAAGAGAGAACAAAATGGAGATTGGAAAATGAGAATTCAAAGGAAGAGCACAGACACGCAGAAAAACAGAGAACTACAAACGGAATCAGTTACTCAGACAGCAAGAGAGACAAGTTAGTCTTAGTAATAGTTTTAAACTTACCTAGAAAAGCAAAAAAATATGTAAATTATGTTTGTAGCTAATTCAACACTTTGCTTCCAGTCTTCTCTCAGTACTCTTGCTAACGCACCGAGAGCAGTTTCTGAAGTGAAGTGGAAGGAAACATAAAAAGGATCATCAGCATTGTCTAGTGTAAAGGGTGATCGGTTTTAAATGTCTACATTAATAAATAACAATGTCAGCTAAGCTACAACTGGGACAAAAAGTAGGATGCTTCTTTCCAATATGGAAAGTTTTTTTTATAAACAACAGTAAAACTTTTGCTTAAAAATCCACACTGCAGCTTCAAGTCCATACTGCAAAAGATTATTTAAGACAAGTACCACACATATCATGAGTGACAAAAAATAATAACGACAGTATCATGAATTTGCATTTCCAGTTGTAAACATAGTACTGTAATGCTGACGTTTTTCCTTGTTAACATATTATTTAACGTATTTGATGAGAAAATAAAAACGAATTTACAAAAAATGATCAGCTTAGTAGACTAATGCTAGTTCCATTTAATCTCAGTAATGAAGGAAGACAAGTCTACTGGCACATAAAAAAATAAGTCTTTCAGAAAATTAGCTCCTATTTTAACAGGAATCTAATTGATGAGTGAATTAATGAAAACTACAGCATGTTAAGTAAACATAAAGAAATAACAAATTGGTACTGTTTCAAATTGGTACTGTTAAACACCTAGCAAATCCTTAATACACGATAAACTACAGGTACGTTAATATGGTAATCATAATTCAACTGTCCTTAACAGGTATTCAGGACTGACTGTATGTTATGTACTGCACTATTATCAGTGTTCGTTTTGTGGTAAAGCAGTTTATCTGAGTCTTTTAATCAGATTTAGAATAATAAAACACTTATTATTAATTTACTTAGCAATGAATTGTTTAGCAAATTAAAAATATAACAGCATTTCATTGTGTATTTATGGTCACAATGGAGATATCAGGATAGCCCTGATCTGAACAAAATTACAGTCAAGCAATGCATATTAACATGTGAGGGTTCCAGAAAGTACTACTTAATAAGTCCTGTCTATTTTGATCTGCTCAATCCAATAATTTTAAAAATATTTGACCATTATAATCCAAAGAAAATGTTATTTCTGGCAAACAGTATTTACATGCAAAAAAAATTGTCTACAATGTCATGAACTTAGGCACAGGTTCAGTTTCAGGCACTTAACTAACAAATTTTACTAATTTCCTATAGTTTACAACTGAGAAATGTTTCCATAAAAATATAGCCATGGGAATCGCAGATAAGTTAACAACACAAAACCAAAGGAAAAACCTAAGGCTTATAAAAATAATTTTAAAAACTAATTTACATACTTAATACCACAGGAATTAAAAATCCATTACGATTTATCAGAAAATACAGCAAATTTATTTCAAAATGATGTATAAGCCAAATGTACAACATCAGTAAAGCAAACTTTGAAAATAAACAAAAGGGCAAGTTGGAACTTCTCCCTTATAAAGTCAAAAAGCTGTGACTAAATTCTAAACAAAACAATAAGCAGTACGGTACATGTCAACGAAACAGAGTAGTAAAATGGACCCATGAATATATAATATATGTTAATGACTCAGAGATAGATACTGTGAGAAAGAGACAGTGTTTTAACAGCTTTTGTTGTGCTCATAAAAAATGAATATAGAAATCCTGATTTAATAAAAGCATGATCTGGGTACACATGCTACACAACTGTCCAGGGTCGGCACTGTGGCACAGTGTAGTAAGCCACCAACCGTGACGCATGCACCACAGCACTACAGGATTCAAGTTCTATCTGCTCCACGCATGATCCAGCCACGCTAGTGAGCCTGGAACAGAAATGCAGGAGGGTGTGGGACCCCTTCCACCCACACAGGAGACCGACAGGTCGGTCTGGATTCCTGGAGCTAGCCTGGCTCAGACTGGGTGTTGCAGACACTTAAGGAGTGAGCTAAGAGAAGGAAAGTATCTGTGTGTGTCTCTCTGTCACTCTTTCTCTCTCCTTCCTTGCCTCCAACTTTTTTCCCTTGCGTGCTTTCTCTATAACTCTGCCTTTGAATCTTTAAAAAGGTCAAAAGTTTGATCATGGATTCTAACACAAAAAACAAAAAATGTGTTCCAGATTAAATGAATAAAAAAAATCTGATAATCATGAATGCTTGATTGTCCTCATTTAATGGCAAGATTTGTTTATTCTCCAGGGAATTAAATATATTTTATTATCATTACACGGGATAAGGAGCTAAAAAGCAGATATATTCATCAGTTTGGCATAAACTTTAAATTATTCTTCTATTATAATAATTGTAAAAGGTCTTCTATTTTTTCCACTTTTAACATATATAGTTAAAAAAATCACCATTTAATAGTAGCTCTTCCAAGTTATCTGGATTCCGAGCAAGCTGTAGTATCAAAGCAGAACCTCGGACTTTGTCAGGAATATCTTCATACAGTAATTCAATGTACTCATCCATGTCATTAATGTTAGCAACTTCATCAATCTGTGAATAGAAGAGGCAGGAGATAATAACGCTGCACAATAATGATGGCCCAAGAGCAAGAAAATGATCATTTGTGATAGGTATAATACTGTACTTTGTAACACAAATTTGCAAATTTCAGCTTTTAGGGGAGTAATTCAAAAGTATAAACTGCAATGACAAAATGGAGCATACATAAACTGTAAAATTTGTCACATAAAGTATTTTACATGTAATTCAAAATATTTTGAAAGTACTATATTTATCAATATTCAAAATATACTGCTAGATGCATAGTACTATTGTATGTATAAATTGTACCTCAAAACAATCGTTACTTTTTCCTTATTAGTAAAATATTGATCTCCAGGCTTTTTCAGATCTTCTAATTTTAACCATTTTAAAATTTTCACATCTGATTAATGCGATTGTATTATTAATGGCAAAATGCAATTCCATGATCAGTGCACTATTGTTGAAGAACAGATATAGTCTTACCTCCATTCCTTCAAAAGGAGGTGGATCTTTAGGCTTGCTTGATTTTTCCTTCTTTTCTATAAAGAGTTTTTAAAAATCAGAAATAGGTTTTTAGTGTTTCTGAGTAATTTCTACCCATTTTAACTTTCAATCCAGCTCCTTGCTAATGTGCCTAGAAAAACAGTGAAGAATGGCCAGCTGGATGGGCCACCCACTATTTTCACATAAGAGACCTGGAAGAAGCTCTAGGCTTCTGGCTTCACAGGAAACAGCCCAAGCTTTGTGGACACTTGGGGAGTGAACTCCAGATGGAACACTGTCTCTCCTCTGTCTGAAACTTTGAAGCAAAGCTTAAAAAACGATTTTATGAAATGCGTTTTCAATATATAAAAAAATGCTTATCTATAATCCATCTTCTGGGCCTGGCACAATGGCTTAGTGGCTAAAATCCTTGCCTCACATGTGCTGAGATCCCATATGAGTGCCGGTTCATGTTCTGGTTGCAACTCTTCCCATCCAGCTCCCTGCCTGTGCCCTGGGAAAGTAGCTGAGGATGGCCCAAAGTCTTGGGACCCTGCACCTGCGTGGGAGACCCAGAAGAAACTGCTGCCTCCTGGCTTCAAATCAACTCATCTCCAGTTATTGTGGCCACTTGAAGAATGAATCAGCAGACAGATTTTTTCTCTCTGGCCCTCCTCTCTATAAATCTGATTTTACAAGAAAAATAACATAAATCTTTAAAAAATAATAGTATAATCTATCTTCTCTAATGAGAATAATTTCAATAACTAATACTTTCATTTATGTCAGAAAAATTTTCACTTCCTTCATGCTTAACTTTTGCAGCACATGCACAGTCAGATTTAACAACAAAAAGCAAAATAGTCAAATCTAAGAATCTCCTCTCCGTATTCCTAATTCAAGCTCAGGTTGGAATAGGAAAATTAATAAGACAAAGAAAATAATATGACTTGAGTAATATTAAAACTACAATGAAAACAGAAAAAGAAAATGGGTACATTTATATCTTAGAATTACATTTTTTAAAACCTTATTTATTTTAAAAGTCAGAGTGACAGCCAGAAAGTTATCTTTCATTTGCTGGTTTACTCCCCAAATGGCTGCAACAGCCAGTGCTGGGCTGGGCTGAAACCTCGAGCCAGAAGCTTCAACCAAGTGCCCTACGTGGCCAACTGGGGACATAACCCAGAGGGCTGCAACCCAGAGGGCTGCTTCTGTTGGCTTCTCAGTCCATTAGTAGCGAGCGAGAGCAGAAGTAGTGCAGCTAGGACAGGAACCAGCTCCCATAGAGGTTTTATCCACTACATCACAATACTGGCCCTGCCATCTAAGATGATTTCAACTCACTTTTCTCTAACAAATAAAATTAAGATCATCTATTAAAAAAAAATCAAACACTAAATACATATGCTAATTTAACCCTCGCTTATTTTTCAATGAATTATAAATATATCACAAGGGATTAAACATGTTATGTCACTAAATGATATTTAATTATTTAATAAAGAAAAAATTTTTGATTTCTAACAGAAAGTATAAAAAATATTAATCTGGCTCAAAACAAATTAGAGAATTATAATTTTCTATAATTAGCACATACACACATAAAATAGAACTGGCTTATATTGAGATGATAGCAGTGATGCTAGATAAGGTCAGATATTGTAACCAGCCAAATCTTGCCTTAACATATAATTTATATGACAATAATTTTAACTAGCTAAAAATTACTTAAGGTAATGAATCACACATAATGAAAGCAATATTTTTGAGTTGCTTTTAGAGCAAGGTTTCTGGTGCTAAAATGCCGAATACCAAGTCAACAAGGTAAGGAAAATAGAATTCTACTTAAAATCAATACATATTTAATTTAAAAAAGCATTTCATGTATTTTTAGTTATCAATATCTATTCAGAGAAACATACTGATTTGAATTATTTTATCCACTTACAAATGACATGAATTTTTTTCATAATTCCTTTAATTTCTGTGAAGGGAGGTAAAATCATTGGTTTTCCCTGAAAATTCAGTGAAAGCATTTTCGCTAGTTTAAAGAAATTTGCATTTTTTATATGTGAGTTCATAATTATATTGAGATAGCACTAGGAAATTGTTAGGATTAACTATATTATGCAAAGTATGTCCAAAGTTTAAAGAGTACTGGTTTACTTTACTCACAATGAATTTGTTTAAAGATTCTACTATTCATCAATCTTAGGCATTTTAAAAAGAGTATTTTCTCATAAGATATTTGCTTAATAATTAACAAGGATAAAGGGAGCGTCACCTAACCGAGCAAAACCAATTGTGTTCAAATTACCCAAAGTTGCTTTAAAATAAGTAACAGCCATTCAACTTATTCAACATACATATAATGATCATACAATACGGATTATTACATTTGGGACTAACAAAAGTACATATTATGCACAATGTATTTCATTTACGAAATGGAGAGAAGGCTTGTTTAATTTGAAAAAAGTCCAAGAAGTGGGCATTGTGGGACAGTCAGTAAAAACACTGCCTGTTACGTTGGCATCCCAAATGGGTGCTGATTCACATCCCTGTTGCTCCATTTCCCTTTCAGCTCCCTGCTGAAAGCCTGGAAGGAGCAGCGCAAGCTAACCCACATATCTGGGTTCCTGCCACCCACATCAGAGAACTGGAAGAGGCTCCCAGCTCCTGACTTCGGCTTGGCCCAGCCCTGGCTGTTCTTTCCATTTGGGCAGTAAACCAATAAGTGAATTACTAAGCAACGGAGGAAATAATACTCAGTAAGAAATACTCAGTGATGAAAATATAACATATTTTCCTAAGAAATATTCATACCAATTCCATCTTTATGAGGCTCCAAAGTACTTATGTTTAACACTTGAATATTTAAATACTACATCCATTTAAATTACGAGTCAAAGATGATTTAAAATTTTAGAACAAAAAGTTTAGATGGATCAGAGAAACCCGACTGTCTATCCCCAATTTTCCTTTAGTATTACAGAATCAGTGAGACATTTGCTATTTATTAATATTTCAGTTTATCTGTACAGGCACAAAACAGATCATTTTCTGTGGGAGCATTTTATATAAACACTATATATAGGAATCAAATACTTTTCTAAGCTAGCATCCAAATGTCAGAAATACAAATTAAAACTATTCTGGTTTTGCACCAAAGAGTTTTTCTTACCTTTTCCTGACAACGAGTCTCGGCGATTCTGCAGATAGTACAACAGCTGCTCTACTTCATTTAGTTTTGAAGGATGAATGAGTTTACATTCTTCAACGACTTTCCGGGCCAGGGAAGTTATATCTGTGTTGGCATTGAGACTCTTAAGACGTATGCTGCAAGTGTATCAGAATTTTCCAACTCAGTCTTATAAAACAGGTGATAGCTTCAACAACACTATTTTAACATAATTTATAGTTTATATTTTATTATGGAGTCTACCTATACTTCTTCATAATAAACATAATCAACTATTAGATACAGTTGGGTTTAGAGAAATAAAAAGCAAGAATTTTTTGGAACAAGACAAAAAGGAGCATACGGCCTTTTTGTGACTCTCAGGTAGAACAACATATATAAATATCTTAAAGAAGTATACCATGTAATAAAAAAGAAGTATAATATGATAAGTCTACTACTCTTTGGAATACTACTCAGCCATTAACAAGAATGAAATTCTACCATTTGCAATCATGGTCCCAACTAGAGACCATTATGCTCAGTGAAACAAGTCAATCTCAAAAGGACAAATATCATATGTTCTCCCTGATATAAGGCAATCTTCATGTAACATACAAGCTTAATAGATGCAGAGCGAAATATGCACGTATGCATACTCAGCCAGAGGAACTGTATAACAGATAGCATATCAACAAGTGGAGATACACTGCAGTATGCACCTCTACTACCAAACCAAAGATGGACTCCCAATGAAACTGTTAGATATATCTTGACAACAGAATGTTGCAATAGCTACCACTGTCTACATGCATAACATCATGACACACTGAAATAGCAGAATGATGGACTTACGACTTTTCTAAAAAAAGATTTATTCATTTTTTTAATTTGAAAGTCAGATATACAGAGAGGAGAGACAGACAGGAAGGTCTCCCATCCAATGACACACTCCCAAAGTCGCCACAACAGGGCTGAGTCAATCTGAAGCCAGGAGCCAGGAGCCTCCTCCGAGTCTCCTGCCCGGGTGCAGGGTCCCAAGGCCATGGGTTGTCCTCAATTGTTTTCCCAGCCCAAAGCAGGGAGTTGGATGAGATGCAGGGCCACTGAGACATGACCAGTGCCCAGATGAGATCCTGGCGCATGCAAGGCGAGGACTTTAGCCACTAGCATACTGCACTGGGCTCTTACGACTCTTTTTGAATGACTATACTATTGTAATTAATATAGGGGAAACTAATGGGGTGAATGGAATTGAGGAAGAGGAAGGGGAAATTCCAGAGCCTATGGAACTGTACCATAAAATTTATAAATATAAAAAAAGGAAAAAAGAAATATTTTGATGTAAAATATACAAATGAGATATACAAATATATCTACTCATTTTTTGGATATGAGAACTCACAGTGTAACAAAAGCATCATTTCTTACCATATCAATAATTTATTTTTCAGTAGGGAAAGACCAAAAAAATTAATATTTTCAAATTTAGTTGCTTTGGTGTCATTATATAAAAAGAAGAAGAAAAAACAACTATATTTTAGGAATTACATGACAAATACCAGGGAAAAAAGGAATGCAATTTATACTTAGTTTAGTGCATGAAAATAGTAAGAGTAATAAATCAAATCCTAATTTTTCTTTTTCTTTTTTATTTTTTTGTAACTTAGCCCAGGGGAATTACCAGGAGCTCAATGTGAAGAATCCTCAAAATCAGGAAACAATAATACATTTGCATGGATTCATGGAACCAAAGAGAGCTAAGAAAACATAACATTACATCTAGAGTAAAACATCACAGTGGTGAAAAGACTGCAGATGCTCCCATGTAAGCCACATACAAATGGATAAACATAAGAAACTTTCCATTGGGCATTTATACAGATGGAGAAATATCAATCAGTGTGAAGCAGAGAGGACACATTCCAGGAAATAGGAGAGGACAGAACAACAGCAGAGGGGTACTTGAAGAATGCAGACACAGGAAAGCAGCGAAAACAATGGTGTGGTGTTGCAGAGACTGATACTCCAGTGCCATTCAGCTAATGGTGATCTGGACTCAACCAGCAACCGGAACTCCACCAGCAACCATGTGGGAAGGGACTTTCACAGGGAACTCAGAAGGTGAACCCAAAGAACTGTCCGTCCTGCTGGTCTGTTTGATTTGGCCAGGAGCAGAGACACAGCAGCAGATCCCAGAGGGGCAATGTGAGAACAGGGTGGATTTCACAACCTAGTCTGCTTCCTAGAGCTGAAGAGGGCACCATTTTGTTTAAGGAGGCAAGGGCTATGGGGCAACTGCACATGCACTGAGCTGGGAGTGAACTCATTTCTGAACTGCAACAACATGGCATTCTACAGGTTCCACCCAAGAGAGTTCTGGGTAGCCTTCAGACTTGCGACCAGCAGATCAAGAACTTTAGCATTGTCAGGTGCCATTTTGTGTACACTGTGGCAAAAGTTTTAAGAGTGCAGAGACAACAGTGAACTGTGCATGTGCTGAGCTTGACAAGAACTCACTGAGCTCAGTGCATTGCACTGGTCTCACAGGGAAAATACTTACTATGGCATTTTAGGGGTCAAACTAGGTCAATGTGGCTCTCAGACCTAACAGCCAACAGGTTCCGACAAGATCACCACCACCAAACCTAGCTATATAGGAATCCTGGTGTCGCCCTAATCCTGGGACCTGCTCAAGAAAGGTTGCAGTGACAATGATACAGCCTCAACACAGTATCACAGAAAGTGGAGACTGGGGAACCAGGAGATGGAGCTATGGAGACCATGGTGGAAATCTAACATAAGACCCAGACTTCAAACTCGCTGGAGTGACTGGCACAGCTGACTACAATCAAAGAGCCATGTATCAATCACAGTAAGTAAAATTGAACTGTAGACCTGTGGGTGACACAGCTTAGTAACCTGCCCCAACAAGAAGAATCTGATAACCAGAAGTACAATAACCAAGAGCAAAAGAGGTCACACAGGCACAATGAATATTACCGAAGATTTCCCTGCAAAGGAGCAAAACCCTATGCCAAACTCAGAATTCACTGAGGAAGACCTCGGGAGAATGGAGGATACAGAATTGAAATCACATGTTATGAAGCTTCTTATCAACAACAAGAAGCACATAAGGCAGGCATTCAAGGGATTCAAGGAATATGTCACACTGGAAATGAATCAAATGAAAGCTGATCTATCAGAAATGCAGAATACAGTGGAGCAAATGAAAAGTACAATGGAGAGTCTCCAACACAGAATGAAGGAGGCAGAAGAAAGAATCTCAGAATTGGAAGATATTTGCTGTCACCAGGGGGAAAGAAAGAAAAACCTGGAAGCAGAGCTGGGTCAAGCTAAAAAAGAAGTATTCAAGAATTGAAAGACACTATGAAAAGGCCTAAATTAAGGGTTATGGGAGTCCCAGAAGGCATAGAGAGAGAAACTGGGTTAATGAAAGTATTTAATGAGATAACCAGGGAAAATTTCCTTAATCTAGAGAAAGAATTGGGAAATAACATCTAGGAGGGACACAGAACTCCCAACAGGTTTGACCCAAAAAGCTATCTTCACCACAACAAATGATAATCAAACTCTCTTCAATCGAACATAAGGAAAAGATTCTTAAATGTGGACATGAAAAAAAAATCAACTGACACATAAAGGAATGCTAATGAAACTCACAGGAGATCTCTCACAGGAAACTCTACAGGCAAGAAGAGAGTGGAGCGATATGTTCCAGATTCTAAAAGCAGAATATTGTCAGCTCAGAATAACGTACCCAGCAAAGCTTTCCTCTGTCTTTGAAATGAAATAAAATTCTTTCACAGTAAAGAAAAGTTAAAAGAAAATGTCTTCCAAACCTGCCCTACAAAGGATACTTACAAATGGTCTCTTGACAGAGAAGTAGAATAGCACCCACCAAAACCAAAGGCAAATGTGAAGAACAATCCAGTAAAATGACAACAGAAGACTAAATCAATGAACAACCTATTGCTAAAATCACAGAATCAAATTACCACCCATTCGTATTAATCCTGAATATAAATGGCTTAAACTCATTAATCAAACCTCATAAATTTGTAGACTGGATTAAAAAATAAAACCTGTTTATTTGTTGCCTATATGAGACATATATCACCAATAAAGATCTGCGGAAACTATATCTCATGGATTTTGATTTTTTGTTAGTTTCATCTCTTCAAGACACTTTCTTCTGATTATTCACTAACTCATACATCATACAGTAGCCTCATTTTCTGAAAGAAGGTTCTTGATTTTCTTTTTTCATTTCTTCAGCTACACATTAGTCTTTCAGTAGCATGTTATTTAACTTCATAGTGTTAATTTTGTTTTTCTTCTTTTTGATTTTGTTTTGTGGCTTTTCATTTAAGGGGATGTATAGTTACTTTTGTAATGGAGAATATCTTATCTAGCAGCATGTTTTTTAACTTCATGGCATTGTAAATTTCTATTTTACTTCCTATTGTTGATTTTGTACTGTGGCTTTTCATTTAAGGGAATGTATAGTAACTGTGTAATGGAGATTATTATATCCAGATGTGAGGATACAATGTAGCATGCATCTCTACTTCCAGACAAAGATGGACTCCCAATGAAACTGTTTACATATATCTTAACAACAGGATGCTGGACTCTGCCATTGTCCATGCCTGCAATGATGGACATATGATTGTGTATGAAGAATTATACTATATTACTGATACAGGGGAACTCAGTGATGGGGGAGGGATTTGAGGAGGGGATAAGGGAAATCCCAGGAGCCTATGGAACTGTATCATAAAATGACAATAATAAAAGTAAAATTTAAATAACAAAAAAAGAAATATTTGGATACAATTATTTCTTGGTTAAAATGGCTAGTTTCTGTGGCATAGACATCAAAGTCTTAGAAGAAGTAGTAGGGGTGCAAATATCAGAGAATTTTTTTTCTATTCAGCTTCTGGGAAACCACTTTTTAGATATAAAAGATTGCTCATGAAACCATTCCAGTACAGTAATTTAGATATTATTCATCTCAGTCAACCCAACCATTATTTCCTAGCATTCTATAAGCTACTTAGCATCATTTAGGAAATTATTTTTATAAGTGAATTTAATAGAGCGGATTCTAATGTTTGTATCATGGACCTCAGTAATTTCTTATATTTTATTAAATCTAACACATTTTTGTATATATTTAGTTGTAAATCACAATGAAGACTTCCCATTATTTAGTTGTTTTTACATTTATACTTTAATTTTATTTTTTCATGATACAGGTCCATGGGCTCAGGGATCTCCTCTTCCACCCTCCCCACTGTTCCTCCCCCTCGCCCCAGTATTCAGTTTAGACTAGGTTTTTATTATTATTATTATTATTATTATTATTGGAAGGGCAGATTTACAGAGAAGAGACAGACAGAAAGATCTGCTTTTAGTATATAATCTCTTTCCAAAAATGGTTTATTATCAAAGGCAATGGAAAATATGCAGAATTTGCCAGAAAATTTTTTAGTATATAATCTCTTTCCAAAAATGGTTTATTATCAAAGGCAATGGAAAATATGCAGAATTTGCCAGAAAATTTCTTTGATTATGCTTATAATCCACATATATAATCTTCATAATGCACCCTGTGACTACTAAGAATATCGTTCTAAAAACCACCTGCAGTATTCTGGGCTACCACCCTCAGTCTCTCACAATGAAATCTTCAGGAAACAGGAAGTGTATTGAGGATGGGCGTGAATGTTACTTTGCCTAAAACAGGAGAACGAAATAGAAAAGTCTTAGATGTCAGTCACACCACTAATTATTCCATTTTATGAGAGTCTCACTTCATACCTATATCTTGATCGATGTGAAATTTCCCTTTTTCCCACAGAGAATACCTCCGTGCCAGCAAACCATGCTTTCCTCTTGATCCCACATCATGATTCCACTACAAACCTTGTACAGCCAGGATACAGTTACTCAGATTGTTCTTGTCTGAAACCTTAAATCTACTTATTTTAGTCAGTCAGTCAGTAGTAACCCTTCCCAGGTGGCTAACTCGTAATGAATGTACTCCTTGTCTAGAAAGCATATGGATTTTCAAACAATAACATTATTTTCATTGAATTCTAGCTGAATAAGGCTACTGACTACATCCTTAAGAACTAAGAATGAAATTCCTCTCCAAAATGTAAATGTATAAAGTTCTGAAGGCAAAGATGATGCAGCAGCTTTTCTTGCAACGATAAAAATATCTTCACATTTTCACATTCTCAAAATGTACCAAAGTCAAGCAGCCATCACAAGCAGAAATCAAAGAAAGAAAGTACGAGGGAACCTAAAAAAGGCTTGAATAGATGTTAAGAACATATAGAATGCATTTGTGGATATGTGTGTGATATGTGCACTGTCAAGTTTTAACACAGTATTATAACTTCGTCTCCTTCTAACCCTCCACGGATGACAAATTAGGACATCTCCATTATATGTTAGGCACATCCTTTTTGGAGGCGGATGCAGACAGGAGTTTCTCTACTAGAATACTGTTTTAACAGCATACTAGGACTCCTAGTTTGGTGCAGATGGCTGTCTTATGCAGTGTAGGATTGCTAGCAAAACCTGCCCTCAGACACTGGCTGCCAATAGCACCAGTGTAGCTATGTTGATCACAATGTTTCAGGCACTGCCAAACATTCCCACCAGGAAAAAACCACTCCCCGTTGAGAATCAACATTGTGTATTTGAAATATGGTGTATTCCAATGTGCTAAACTGAATTACACGTAATCTTAACAGGTTGAACATTTTTAGTATTAGAAAAACACAGACTATTCTTTCTAATTAATTCCTAAATTAAAAAAAAAACATGAAGAAAAGGGAGTTGAGGGAGAATACTAAGTATTCTCAGATTTTCTCGACTTCTACAAAGTATGGAATAAAGGCCAGATCATCCCTCGTGCCAGAGCAAGCTGAGATCAGTTTCCAAGGGCTTCCTGAAAGTACTTCCATAACAGGAAGGAAGATGTGTCAGATCCTGGAGAGATAAGACTTGTGAAGTAATATTACTAATATTTTTCAGAAGATTTGGTTTTCAGGGGATGAATTCAAGGTCTTTATACAACTGGGGATTTCTCAAAAATCACCACATACTGCAAATTCAGGTAAGAAAGGCATATGAAAATCCCAAATTAAGTGAAAAAGTTTCACAGGAATGTACGTTTTTACACTTGATCTTAGCCAAAAGGCCGAGAAGCGATTGAATGTACGTTTTTAAATTGATTTAACAAAAGTTAATATATTTTCTCCAATATAAATGCATATGTTAGCATAAACAGAACTCAGAATTGATTTCACAAGTTAATATGTGTGCTACTTTAAGCATTTACTAAATGTCAGAAATCAGACTAGTATTTTTCAGGATGTCACAATGCTTACAAAATTTTGTTTTCTATGAATTAAATATCATTCATATTTATAATTTAATATCATTTAATCCAAATAGTTAACTTTTAATGATAAAATCTCTCTACTAAGATGAACTACATCGAAAGCAATGCCATAATGACTTATCTTTACGTAGAGTAAGATAATATCAGATTTATACAAAATTTGTTTAAGGTAACTATAGACTTACATTTTTTGGCATTCTTTTCGTTCTCCCAACATAGGATCCCCCATTTCTCCAAGAATAGTAGCTTCCACTTCATACTGGACAATGAGTGCCTTTTCGGATGGATGTACATCAATATTTCCTCCTTTAACTTTCCTGTAATACAAAACAAAAATAAGCATAAGGAGATTAAAGACTCACAAATGTCCATAGCTTTAAAATAGTTTTTATCTAGTTTCTAGTCCCAGAACCTTTGGGTTCAACTAGCAAATACAATTGAATTCAACTTATTCCTTTAAAAAATGTTTACTCATTTTTTTGAAAGGCAGAGCTAGAAAGAGAGAGAAGGAAGGTGGGAGACCCAGAGGGAGAAAAGTTGAAAGAGGGAGAGAGGCAGGAAGGAGAGGGAGAGAGAGAGAGGTAAAGAGAGAGCGAGGGATGAAGGGAAGGAGAGAGAGAGAGAGAGAGGGAGAGAGGGAGGGAAAGGGAGAGAGAGAGAGAGAGCATTAGCTTCCATCTCTGCAGGTTTATTCCCCCAAATCACTGCAGTGGCCTGGGCTGGGCCAAAACACATCAGGGAGCCAAGAGGCAGGAGCTGGTTTCCCATGAGTGAGGGTGGAGCTCAAGCAAGCGGACCACCTTGTGTTGTTTCCCAGGCACACTGGCAGGCAGCTGGATCTACAGTGGAGCATCCAGGTCTCACAGCAACACCTATATGGGAGGCCAGCACTGCCACTGGGCAGCTTAAACTAGCTATACCACAGGGCTGCCTCCCAGATGTAGTCATGGTTTGGGATAGTCACCCTTTTTGACTACGCTGTTCAGTACAAATACTTATTGGTTCTGTGGGGGGCAAAAAAAAAATCATAGATTAAAAAAACCCCTAATTTAACAAAAAACCTCATGATAAGAAAATAAAAGAAACAAAAATAGTTAAGAATGACATAATTTGGGACCGGCACAATGGCACAGTAGCCTGAGTCTCTAGTAGCCTGTAGTGCTGGTCTCCCACAACAGAGTGGCCCTGAAGTCCAGCTCTTCAGTTGCAGTTTCTTGCTAGTGTCCACCCCAGGAAGCAGCAGGGGACAGCCCAGGTGCTCATTCCTGGGGATGGCATGGAGTGAGTTCTTGGCACCTGGCCTTGTACCCTAGCTGCAGCCACTGTGAGCATTTAGGGACTGGGTCAGCAAATGAGAGTGCTCCCTTCCTCACGCACACAAATTAATTAGCTAATGAATTTAAAAAGTGCTTTTCCATATCCATAGAATTACCATTTATTGTTCTTCATTCCATTAATATATTAGAACTAATGTATTAATTGCACTACAGTCAAATTATTTGTTATAACTGTTATATGTGATACATTTACATCCCTTATACATCGATATAAAATTCTTAAATCTATTTTAAAGGAATATGTATACATTTTTTAAAGTTTTATTAATTTCAGAGACAAATTGGAGAAAAGAACTTTTTTCTACTGGCTCACTGCTCAAATGCTCACAGCAGCGAAGGCAGTGCCAGGCCAAAGCCTGGCACCGAAACCTACACCTGGGACTCCACTGTGAGTGGCAGGGACCCCTCCACTCAGTCACCCCTGCTCCTCTAGGCTCAGTCTCAGGAAGGTCGATAGAGATGGAGACAAAACTCATGACACGGTGTGTAGGGGTCTGTGCTACAGAGCATACCTGCCAGGCTGTATACTTTAGCCAGGGAAAATAACCTTTTATATTTATTCAATACTTACAATTCCTGATACATCTCATGAGTTATGCCAAAAATAAAGTTCATATTTCACTTACTAAAACAAACCTTAGTAATGGAGAGTCAGAGGATAGTTCAAACCAAAATTCCTATTATAATCTAAAAAGATGGGGGCAGTAAGGTGCATGCATGTATCCATTGAAATAGGAATAGGAAGTAAGCACGGAAGATCAGGAAAATGAACACAGGGCAAGGTGTGAATTTGGGGCTGCTTTCCCTAGGAGTGTTGTCATCTGAGGAGCTGGCTGAGAATCATTCAACAGCTCCATATTGATAGAGGCACAAAATCTGGAGTTCTGGATGCACTATAAAGCACAGGCTCTGGTGAAACTCCAACTTGTTAGCTGAAAACTCAAGGACTATATCCTAGGAGTAATTTCAAACTGATGCAGGCCTGGTCCCCTGTTTAATGTATCTAATTGCCTGCAAATTAATTAAGATGACCCTAAATTTCCGGTACCTCCTAATCTCTGCTAGAAACAAATAAATGTTCTCTGGATAAAGAAGACATCATCCTAGAATTCATATAACTATATGTTCACAATTGACACAAAGTAAGTCATTATGGTTAATTTTAAATAAGAATTAGATGCCACACTTTTTAAATTTAATGGCTAAAAATAACGAAAATTATGAAGCCAATGACGGGCTTAATAGGTTGGATACAGTTCAAGAGACAATCTGAAATAAGAAATACAACTCAGAATAAAACAGACAAAAGGCTGGTTAAATCTAAAAGGGGTTAGATTCCAGAAGAACGCATGGAGTTACTTTAACTCTCAAAACCCTAGCAGAGGAATTGAGTAAGGATGGAGACAGAAGCAGTGTATCCAGGAACAACAGCTAAGCGACTTCAGTCAGAGCGGGAGAGCAGGAACCTCTAGAGGTTGGCACTCATCAGAAACACTGGAAAACGAGGTCCTGACTCTTTACCCAACCTTAATGCAATTCTGAAAGTGAGGCAAAGGTTCGTAGCAACCACCTGAATGTTTTGGCAGGAGAAATGCTAGCGAAACAGGACGGGAGACCATGGTGGTGTTTTCAGTTCTCTAAACACCACTACATTCTCCATTGCAGTGACCATCTGTAGGATAGCCCAGATTCCCACTGTAACTGCCTAAATGAAATAGAACTGAGCTCATAAGAATAAATCCCTACATCTATTGCCAATTAAGTTCCAACCAGGGATGCCTAAGCTGTTTCTGAGGGAAGATCAATCTCTTTAGCAAATGGTGCTACTGGCTAGTCTATGTCCATATGGAAAAGAAGAAATCTGGACCCTTACCGCATAAATTAACACACAATGGATCAAAGACAGAGTTTAAACCATAAACTCCTCAGAAGGAAACAATAAGGGACAATCTTAGTGGCCTTGAACTTCTCAGCAGTTTCTTAAATAATGAGGCCAAAAGCAAGGACAATAATAATCAGACCATATCAAATTAGAAATTTCTCCTATGAAAAGAAACTGTCAACAAAATGAAGAAACAGCTGAAAAAAGTGGAACAAAGTATCTTCAAATCAATTTCTGATAAGGGTTTAGTATCCAAAGTATATAAAGAACTCCTTTCCCTAAAGATGAAAGTAGCCAAAAAACATGTACAAGAAAGTTCAAGGTCACTGTCAACTAGAGGAATGGAAATAAAAATCAAATAAGGTATAATTCTGTACTCTTCATCGTGATCATAATCATACTATAGACAGAATCAAGCAATCACAGTTTGGTGCGGATGTGAAAGAACCAGAACGCTTATGCAGTGACGGTGGGAACGTAAAATGGTGCAGTCATTTTATGGTTGCTATGCGGAAACTATTCTCATGGTTCATCAATGAGTTAAACATAGAATTACAATTGGACTCAGTAATTCCATGTCAAGGTATATCAATAGATTGGAAGGCAAACACTTACATGTCTCGCACTTTATCCCCAACAGCTAACAGGTGGAAAAAAGCCAATATACACCAAAGCTGAATTATGGACAAATACAATAGGGTACACCCTTACAATGGGCTATTCAGCTATAAAAAAGAATGAAGTAATGATACTTGTCACCAGAGAAACCACTAATTATATTTCAAAAAAAAATCTTCATTCAAAAGCTATATACTTCACACAGCAGTTATATACAGAATAAGAGTTTATTAATTTTGATAATTTTTTAGTCTTTATTAGTTACAGTATAAATGTGAAAAGGGCAGTAAGATTTTACTCCTTCACCAAATATGTTTACCATTTGTCTGAATGACTTCTACCTGGTGGAACAACAAATAACTACAGGATAAATGAATGTTATTCACTCTAAAAACTTGTTCAGGGGCTGGCACTGTGGCATAGCCTGCATGCATCACCATCCCATATGGGTGCCAGCTTTAGTCCTATCTGCTCCACTTCTGATCCAGCTCCTTACTACTGTGCTCTAGAAAATATCCTTGGTTGGCCCAAATGCTAAGGTCTCTGTACCCACGTGGAAGACCAGGAAAAAGCTCTTGGCTTTGAACTGGCCCAGCTCTGGCTATTGTGGCCATGTGGGGAGTGAACCCACAAATGTAAGATTTCTTTCTTTTTCTCTGTCTTTTCTTCTTGCTCTCTGTAACTATGCTTTGCAAATGAATAAATAAATAAATACATGCATATTTAAAAAAATCCTCCAGTATATTCCCAGTGATCTCATAATGAAACACTCACAATTCTTGACAAGAACTCCTAAGTCCAATATAAAACATACTTCTTTCCTGCCTCATGCTTGCTTCACTTAGTAACCTATGTTCCAGGCCCTGCTGGGAACACAATGGGAAGCAACTTGCATGGTGCCTTACCCATATGGTGTCTATAGATCTGAAGGAAATACAAACAATAAAATTGTTAGACTGAGGAGAAACTTTTAGGTATCATTAGAACCTAAAGCTGTATCAGCTGTTCATCACTATAACAAATAGCTAAGATACATTATTCAGGAAAGAAGGAACCCCAGTTGACACTTTCGGAGATTTACGTTTCAAGGTGAGGTGAGCCCCATTTGTTGGGTCCTCCAGCAAGTCCGGAGGTTGGGTAGGAGGAGTGTGTGCAGAGGAAAGACCACAGGGCGAAACCGGAGGCAAAGACAGGAAGTATGCTTGTCTTCTATGTGACTTGCCCTGGTAGAGCCACCATGATTTGCTCATGTAGGTTCACCTCCATCCCCTTCCTCTACCTTTCCCGAAACCAAATCCAATCTAGACACCATGATTGGATTAGGATTCTACTCTTAATATATTAACAACAAACTATGATGATGAGCTCTGAATATATGGGCTTCTGGGAGACATCACAAAGTAATGTTCACTACACCCTATTTGACATAGATTGTTGAGTGGAAAAGGGAAGTTCAGGAAAGTTTTCTGGAGCGAGTGGCATTCAAGCTAAAACAGAAAAGACAGTAAGTTAGCAGGCTAATGAGCAGGGCAACTGCTAGGCAAAGAGAAGGACATACAGGAAGCAAATACTACTGTACAGAGATCCCAAAGACATTATTTTTATAAGATTGAAAAATCAAATTACTCGGGGAAGGGATGAGAGAGATAAAACTTAAATGTTGATGCTCTTACTGTAATTTTACTGGAAAGCGACTGCAGTTTAAGAAGTTGCTAAGAAACACTCCCCCCAAAATTTCTATGAAACTGCATACTTGCTTGTTTAGGCATCTTAATGAGGATAGAAATTGCTTATTTAGCCATACCTCAGTGACCAGAACAACACTATGCATACATTAGGCATAGAGTACATATTTAATCAGTGCTGTCAAATCAAAACACTAACTAGTGTCAAAACAATAAACCCGAGATTTCTCATAAGTAAAAAATAATACTTGTCGGCTGTTACGACGGTTCAACTGGCTAATCGTCCCCCTTCAAGCTCCTGCAGCTCATGTCAGCACCAGGTTCTGCTGCAACCTCTCCACTTGCCAACCAGCTCCCTGCTTGAGGCTGGCCTGGGAAAGCAGGGGAGAATGACTCCAATGCCTTGGGACCCTGCACTGATGTGGGAGACTCAGAAGAAGCTCCCGGCTTCCTGGCTTCAGATTAGCTCAGCTCCAGCAATTGTGGTCATTTGGGGAGAGCGAGCCAGTGAGTGGAAGATTTTTGTCTTGCCTCTCTGTAAATCTGCCTTTCCAACAAAAATAAATAAATCTTTAAAATATCATAGTAATAACACAAATATATGAAGATTCTTACTGATAGCAACTTTGACTAATAACACTGAAGTGAATCAATTAAAACCATATTGCTGACATTTTAAAAATAAAATACACAGCAAAAATATTGGTAAAGGTACGTAATTATTGTCAAAGAATGAATGTTACAATGATAATTCCTTTTTGACATCACCAACTCTTTCTATCAGACTTTGAGTGTATATCCGCTGTATATATCTAGTCTGAAAGCAGGACAATACAAAATTTTTTTAACTTAATCAAGATTAGATGAAACTGATAAATGTATTTTGCAAATTCCGCTTTTATTTTATCTCAACTACTAAAGTGCTAGGTTCAATTTTATTTTTAACTCTATATAACATTGTTTTTAAAATGAATAGGTGGAGAATTACAAGCCATAATACACCTATGTGTCATTATTAACACACAATCCTAAGAAAGAATATTTCTGACATAATTGTATCACATAAAATAACTTGGAAGAGCAGCTCCTTGCTTGAATTTAAAAACAAAAGGCAATGCATTTTCCTTCACCCCCCAAATGCCGAGCATATATTTGTATATTATATACTCATTTAAAATTATTACTGATAAAAATTATACATTGATTTAAAAATTTTCACTGGCTAGCTATGTGCCAGTTTCATATACATTTCTACGACACGACAAACAGGCAACAGAATCCCCATGTTGCACAGAGCAGTATAATTCTCTGAATCCCTTCAAAGAATGCGGTGATGTCTATATTATCTTCTGTAATGAGCAGAGTCCTGCAAATATTGTCTTCACCTTGCCTCTTCATAATACCACTAACTTGCTATACATATTTTATGCTTAAAGATATTCTGATATTTTTGATGCCACACATGATTTTTTTCAGGATATTTACTGAGTCAGGAACAAGGGTATCACTAAATGGAAGTCCAAATTAAGATTTCACCTATTGAATTCTTGCTAATTCTTAGTCCAGCAAGTCTCTTTTTTTTTTTTTTTTTAATCTTTGGCAGGAGTCAAATAATCCCAACAGACCATTTATTTTTTAGAGCAGCTTATACTTATTAAATAAATTGTTGCCTGCTCCACACCAAGTTACTTAACAAAATCTCTCAAAATTATGAACCTCCTATACAGGACGTATTGCATAAATGCTAGTCAATGATAAAATGGACCAGCAAAGCAGCAGCAGACTGGAAAGCAACAGCTACTGGAGTCCTCCATGGAGGAAAAGCCACCATTGCTTTTCCCTTCATTACTTTAAACCCTCACAGCAGTGACTGGGAGCCGAGGTGCTGGGGTGTCTTCCTGCCCCAGCTCCCAGGGGATCCTGCTATCAGGGGAAACAGGGCGCAGGGGGGCAGAAGGATGCACTTCACCTGGCCGACCTTTCCAGTCCTCATTCCCACCCACCCCCTAGGAAGGTAATGCAGCAAGCCGGCCGTCACTGCAGGTGTCAGGGCCCAGCCATGGCATGGAAGAGGTTCGAGGCCCCAGCACCCCGGAAAGGCCTCCACCCCCATGCACCTCGCCCTCCCTTTCCCGGCCTCCCAAGTCCCTCTTCTCATCTCCTGTGCCCAGTGACATCTCACAGCCAAACCAACATTTACAATCATTCTCAGGGACCTGGCAAGAAAGAGAGGACAGAGCCTCGGGGAGTCGTCACCTTTTGAGGTATCTGGCGTCCTCCCCTTGCATGGCGGCGGCGACGGCGGCGTGGGGATTAGGGGAATCTGAGAGGCCGAAGGGGCTATTTCCGGGGACGGGGGCCAAAGCAGCCTCACACCCCCAAAAGCCGTGACAGTCCTGAGGCCTGCAAGGCGGGGCAGCAGCGGCGCTGTGGTTACCACGGTGAGGCCACCGACTCCTCCCCCAGCTCCGAGCTTCCCAAAACACTGGCGCTGCCCCAGACCCGCCCAGGGCCGCCTCGGCCCCGTCCTCCTAGGGCGCATGCGCCCGCTCCGCAGCACACGCCCGCGCAGACTCAGTCTGAGGGACAGGCCGCCGCGACTCTTCTGACGCGCTCGGGAACACCGGGCAGGCTTTGGTGCTGACGGAGCATCTTTGATTAAGGAGTGGCTCGTCTGATCACTGCCCCCTTGAGGATACGAATGGAAAGGGCCTTTCCAATCTGCAGAATTGGAATTTCAGGTCCTTCAAAGGAAAAGGAGGGAGAGGCAGTTAACCTTCTAATTAACCAGCGCTAGCTCTGGCTCATATCTGCGCAGTGAGAGTTCTAGTTCAGGACGTTATAACAGAGATACTGCACTGATTTGGCGGAGAAGCTCTAAGATATGGAGGTAATCTGACCTTGCTACAAAATAGATTATTATCAATTTGCAAAGTGGCATTTCTGTCATTTCCATGTTGATATCGTAAGTGTACAACGCACCTCCCCATTTTTTTTTTCCCAGAAAAATGGGTCCTGAAGGCCTAACTCCTCCACTAAGTTGCTCCCAACTCAAGATATGTTTAGAAATGTTTTTCCTACAAAGGAGCCGTTGTTGGCAAGGTAGGGTGAAGGAAAGAAAGATTGTTTTTTAACAGTGTTAAGTAAGCACATCTCTACTCCCTCCTTCCGTCTATCACCGTCTTCTAGTTCTATGGCTTTAGTTCCTTTCAGACATGTGGACATGGTCGTTTTGTGCTGTTTTTCATTTTATTTATTTGTTTTTTTATTCATTGCATTATGCGGCACAGTTTTTGAGGCACTGGGATTCCCCCTCTCCCTCCCCCAACATTCCCCCCACGGTGGATGTTCTGTTTTTCAAATGCAGTAAATTAACTTGTTTAGGTCTTATCCTTAAGTGTAAGTATCACGTTATTACCTTGCATGGAATATAGCAATGAGAGATACAATTTTATAACTGATGAAAGACATGTTTGTTTGCTCAGTCATCCACCCCAGCTGGGCTGCTTGCAGAGTGCCTTTGTTATTCAGCTATTCTCCAAGGGAAGAGAATTTTGTGTGGAATCTGACTTCCTCGTGTCTATCAAGCTATCTGGACCACGGTTCTTTTTAGGGACTCTAGAACTGTAGAATGGATCCCCTTGCCTTGTTCAGCTTTAAGTCATCCACGTGAAACATCGTGGCCCAAGCCCTAATCCGGCCGGCTCTTGGGTGCTCCCACTCTGGTCACATTGCTGCATGAAGAGAGACAGAGATGGGAACCAGAAGCTGGGAATGGCATTCGGAGGCAGAGAACCGATCGCTTGGACCGTGAGAAGCTGCGGTCAGGAGATGCGGCTGGGAATTGAGATGTGCGCGTCCTCACTGCGCTGTTGAACACTCCCAGGTGTCCCACTGGAAGCACTAGATGGACCCTCATCAGTAACGCATGGCGGTTTCCCTGTTTTATGGCAGATCCTTAACTTCAGTTGCATATGCTCATTCCTTTTTTCATGTACTGTGATACACTTAAAGTTTTCAGGGATAGAATGGCTATATTTGTTTTGAAGGGAGCATTACTATGCCTCTCACAACACCAACATAATGATTAATATTATACTATACAAAATACCAAGTGTTGATGAGAATATGGAGCAACTTGTGTTGTTAGCATTACTTGCAAGAATGCAAAATGGCACAACTATTTTGGAAAACAGTCCAACAAGTTTTTTAATCAACAGTTAAATATGCATTTACCATATGAATTAGGAACTCTTACCGTACATATGAACCCAAAATAAGGGTAACATCTGTGCAAACGGTTTTTGGCAGTTGTATTTATAATGTCAGAAAACTGCGAACAACTTAAAAATCTATTAGTATGTCAAGTGTTACAAATTGTGGATATCACAAAAGGCTACTTTTCAATAATAGAAAAACCAGGTATATGTAACAAATGGATGGCTCTACTAAAATTTATGATGAAAAGGACATACGGTGTGATCACATTTGTAAGAAACTCTTGAATACAGAAAAAAAAAAGCCTGTTGATGTGAAGTGACAGAAAGCGGACAAGTAGTTGTCCCGTGCCAGGGTTGTGGGGAGACTGCCTCTAGCTACCCTGAAGGAAGCTGTGGGGCACTCTTGTGGGTACATTTATCAAGTTGTAAAACTATATATTCAAATTGCATCCATTTAATTGTATATAAAATTCCTTTGATGTGATTGTTTCACAACAAATAAGACAGAAGCCAGTAAATGAAATAGATTAAACACCATGTCAGACATAGTTAAGAAAAAAAAAAACTTGTGAATAATAGAAGTTATATGTAAAGTAGAAAATGTTGAAAGGAGAACTTGAAAAAAAAAGTTAAAAGATAGGAAGGACAGTATAGGAGGTGGGAAATTCTGGAGCCTATGGTACTATATCATGGAATAATATAATTCATCAATTAAAAAGCATGCTAACAGAAAATGTGGCTGAACTTTATAAAGTACCCAGTCTTATAAAAGCAATTTTCTTTATATGTAAGCAAGCACAAATAATTTGCCTAATAAATATTTATGTATGAAAAAGAAATTAATTTTTAAACATATAACGAAGTGATAGAATGCTAAGATAAAGAGATGTTAAAGTCATTATTAAGCCTTCACAATTTTATAAGTATTCAATTTTCTGTACTTCTTATACTTTTATTCACATCCCCCAAAATACATCATAATTTTATAAAATGAGAAATCAGTCTCACTGTGAATTTGAAATGCTCCTGCATGGTTCTGTGCTTAACAACATGAATTTTGAAGAATCAAGATGGCAGAATAGGGCAATACCTATTTAAATGGACAGAGAAATATTGGCCAGTATGAAACAGAAATGGCACGTTCTAGGAAATAGGAGACAATGGAACAACAGCAGAGGGGTACTTGGAGAATGACAGACACAGGAAAGCAGTGGACACAACAGTGTGGTGTTGCAGTGACTGATACCCCAGCAGCATTCAGTAAATGGCAATCTGAACTCCACCAGCAGCCAGAATTCCACCAGCAACCAGGTGGGAAGGAACTTTCACTGGGAGCTCAGTAGGTGAACCCAGACAGAATTGCCTGTCTTGCTGGTCTGTTTGATTTGACCTGGAACAGTGACAGAGCGGCAGATCCCAGATGGGCAGTGTGGGAGCAAGGTAGATTTCAGAACTCAGTCCGCTCCCTAGAGCCGAAGTGGGCACCATTTTATTTAAGGAGGCAAAGGAAAGGGAAAAGACTGAGCACATGCACTGAGCTGGGAGTGAACTCATTTCTGGCTCAGTGAACTGCAACAACATGGCACTCTACAGTTTCAACCCAAACAGATCCAGGTACCCCCTGGACCTGATGGCCAGCAGATCAAGAACTCTAGTACTGGTACATCAGGCACCATTGTGTACAGTGTGGCAAAAGTTTTAGGACTACAGAGAGCTGTGCATGTACTGAGCTTGTGAGAACTCACTGACCTCAGTGCATTGCACTGGTCTCACAGGAAAAGAATACCTATTATGACATTGTACGAGTCAAACTAGATCAATGTGGCCCTCAGACCTAACAGCCAACAGGTTCCGACAAGATCACCACCACCAAACCTAGCTATATAGGAATCCTAGTATATCCCTAATCCTGGGACGTGCTCTAACCAGAAGCGTGAGAAGGTTGTAGAGACAATTGTGCAGCCTCAGCACAGTATCACAGAAAGTGGAGACTGGGGAACCAAGAGATGGAGCTATGGAGACCATGGTGGAAATCTAACATAAGACCCAGACTTGAAACTCGCTGGAGCTACTGGCACAGCTGACTACAATCAAAGAGCCATGTACCAATCACAGTAAGTAAAATTGAACTGTAGACCTGTGGGGGACACAGCTTAGTAACCTGCCCCAACGAGAAGAATCTGATAACCAGAAGTAAATTGACCAAGAGCAAAAGAGGACACACAGGCACAATGAATATTACCAAAGATTTCCCTGCAAAGGAGCAAAACCCTATGCCAAACTCAGAATTCACTGAGGAAGACTTCAGGAAAATGGAGGATACAAAATTCAAATCACATATTATAAAATTTCTTATCAACAACAAGAAGCACATAAGGCAGGCATTCAAGGAATTCAAGGAATATGTCACACTGGAAATGAATCAAATGAAAGCTGATCTATCAGAATACAGAAGAAATGCAGAATACAGTGGAGCAAATGAAAAGTACAATGGAGAGTCTCCAACACAGAATGAAGGAGGCAGAAGAAAGAATCTCAGAAATGGAAGATTTGCTGTCACCATGGGGAAAGAAAGAAAAACCTGGAAGCAGAGCTGGGTCAAGCTAAAAAAGAAGTATTCAAGAATTGAAAGACTCTATGAAAAGGCCTAAATTAAGGGTTATGAGAGTCCCAGAAGGCACAGAAAGAGAAACTGGGTTAATGAAAGTATTTAATGAGATAATCAGGGAAATTTTTCCTAATCTAGAGAAAGAATTGGGAAACAACATCTAGGAGGGACACAGAACTCCCAAGAGGCTTGACCAAAAATCCATCTTCACCACAACAAATGATAATCAAACTCTCTTCAATCGAACATAAGGAAAAGATTCTTAAATGTGGACATGAAAAAAAAATCAACTGACACATAAAGGAATGCTAATGAAACTCAGGAGATCTCTCACAGGAAACTCTACAGGCAAGAAGAGTGCAGAGTGATATGTTCCAGATTCTAAAAGCAGAATATTGTCAGCCCAGAATAACGTACCCAGCCAAGCTTTCCTCTGTCTTTAAAATGAAATAAAATTCTTTCACAGTAAAGAAAAGTTAAAAGAAAATGTCTTCCAAACCTGCCCTACAAATGATACTTCAAGATGTTCTCTTGACAGAGAAGCAAAATTGCACCCAAGGAAAGCAAAGGCAATGTGAAGAACAATCCAGTAAAATGACAACAGAAAACTAAATCAATGAACAACCTATTGCTAAAATGACAGATTACTATCTATACATATTAACCCTGAATGCAAATGGGTTAAATTCA